CCGTCGTATTTCATACCACACCACGGGGTCATTAGGGAGGACAAACTTACATCTAAGTTACGTGTAGTGCTCGACGCTAGAGCTAAAACTAGCACTCACCTGTCGCTTAACGATATCCTCTATAGTGGGCAAAATTTACAGGGCAGTTTATTTAATATAATAGCCAATTTTCGTTTGTTTAGTATAGCACTATCCGCCGATATTCGCCAAATGTGTCTTTGCACAGGGGTCCGTGAATGCGACCGTAGATTCCAACGCATTTTATATCGTTTCAACCCAAAGGAACCTCTAATGGTGTTTGAATTTAACCGCGTTTGTTTTGGTTTAAAGTCGAGCCCATTTCATGCGTTACGCACGGTGAAACAGCTCGCCCACGATGAAGGTCCCTCTTATCCTAAAGCTAAGAGGGCAATTGAGAGCGGATTATATATGGATGATTTTGTATACTCGGTCGATAGCGTGGAGGAGGCCACCCTAACCACCGCCGAGGTTATAAGGCTCATGAAATCGGGTCAATTCGATCTTGTGAAGTGGACTAGTAATTCGCGTCCGGTTTTAGATACAATCCCAATATCACACCGTCTTTCGGCGATAAAGGAATTCGACGATTCTGATACACACAAGGTGCTCGGTCTGTGTTGGTCACCAGAGTCCGACGTGTTTAGCCTTAAGGTAAATCCGCCCGTAGAGAAATGCAAAAAGCGCACAATACTGTCATGCGTTGCTAGATTATGGGATGTCATGGGTTTCGTAGCTCCGGTGGTATTATACGCTAAGCTTTTGATTAAACAACTTTGGTTATTTGAATGCGATTGGGATGACTCGCCGCCTGACAGCATTGTTCGTTTGTGGCAGCGCTTTAGAGAGGAACTTCCTTTACTAAGAGAAATTAAAATACCGCGTCATATAAACGTAGATAGTAATAGCGTCATAACGGTCGTTGGGTTTGCAGACGCCAGCGAGAAGGCTTACGGGGGGCGTTGTATATTTCCACGTTCAGAATAATGGTAGAAATTCGATTAGCCTCATTAGTTCTAAGTCTAGAGTCTCCCCCCGTAAGGTTGTCTCTCTGGCACGCTTAGAGCTTTGCGCAATATTAGTACTCACCAAGCTTATTACCGCAGTTATCAGCGCATGTAGGGATAGAGTTCACATAGAAAGGATATTTGCCTTTTCCGACTCCACCGTCGCCTTATGCTGGGTTTATTCTTCACCCCACCGTTGGGATACGTTTGTCGCGAACCGAGTGGCCAAGATCCAAGATGAGTTGGAAACGCGGAACTTTTATCACGTGTCCGGTACGGAAAACCCTGCCGATTGTCTATCCCGTGGACTCACCCCGATGCAAATAATGGACCACCCGCTTTGGTTCCATGGACCTTCTTGGGTTCACTTGAATCCCTCACAATGGCCGATAACCGATTTCGAACCTTCGTCAGTGTCACAACCGCCGGAAGAGAAGAGACATGCTCTAGTGGCGAACGTTTCGAGCGAGGTTTCTCCAATCATTGCTTTGGCGAACCGCTTGTCCTCTTGGTCGAAATTATTGCGTAGCGTAATTTACGTTTGTCGATTCGCGAAGCTTTTACCGCGACGTTCGTATGTCTTAGCGTCCGATTACAACTATGCCGAGTCGCTAGTATTACGTGAACTTCAACGTGCGCACTTCTCTGAGGAAATTACAAGATTACAATCGAATAGAGCTTGTAGTCGCGCCTTTCAACGCCTTAAGCCATTTTTACAGGATGGGATTGTAAGGGTAGGTGGACGCTTGTCCAATTCGAAATTGAGTTTTGACCAACGGCACCCTATAGTTTTACCGCGTAAAGACCATATCATGAACTTATTAGTCGATTACCATCATAAATTGAACTCGCACGCTGGCCCCGACTTGTTGATGTCGATTTTGCGTCATAATTATTGAATTCTTTCTGCACGTAGTTTAATACGCAATCGGGTGCACAGATGTATAGCTTGCTTTCGGGCACGCCCCAAGCCGTCATTTCTGGAAATGGCGGAACTTAGATCTTGTAGAGTAATACAATCGGTAAAGCCCTTCACGCACACCGGGTCGGATTTCGCTGGTCCGTTTAAGGTCACGCTCACTCGCGGGCGTGGTATAAGATCCACAAAGGCTTACGTCTGCATTTTCGTATGTCTAACTACTCGAGCGGTGCATATAGAACTCGTTGGTGATTTAAGCACAGCAGGCTTTATGGGTGCATTTAAAAAATTTCTATCCCGTAGAGGCCCTGTAAGTAAATTATATTCGGATAACGGTACGAACTACGTCGGTGCAAAAGTATTCTATCGGAACTACATGAGCTCTTAGCTAGCAAGTATTATAATTCGGAGTTCGCTCACATTCTAGCCGTGAACCGCATTGAGTGGTCTCTGAACGTCCCAGCCGCGAGTCATTTTGGGGGCAATTGGGAGACTAATATTAAGAGTTTAAAGAGTCACTTATACCGAGTAATAGGAGATCAAATTTTGTCCTTCGAAGAGCTAAGTACGGTGCTCGCTCAAATTGAATGCGTAATGAATAGCCGCCCACTTTGTCGGACGTTGTCTAGTGACCCCTCGGAACCGCTGGCTCTAACTCCAGCACATTTTTTGAATTTAACGCCTTTAAAGTATTTGCCCGCCGCAGATATGGATGAGAACAGACTTAGAGCATTTCTGCACGCCACAAATTATTAGACCGGTTAGTGCAATCGTTTTGGAAACGATGGAGGATGGAATACTTGCATACTTTGCAGTCTCGGCAAAAATGGAACACAGCGACCGAGCCTTTAGCTGTAGGGACTGTAGTTGTGCTCACTAAGGAGAATACGCCACCTCTCCATTGGCCGTTAGGAATTGTCGAAGAGGTCTTTTCCGGTTCCGACGGAGTAATTAGGGTAGCTCGCGTTAAGACCACGGTTGGGTCTTACTTGCGTCCTGTTGTCCGTTTGTGCCCCTTGCCTCTTCCATAATTTAAATTAGCTTTCTAGATTAAAATTGTAGTTGAATTTAGGTAATCTTAGCGTTAGTTAGTTATTTGTTAGTTGATCTTAGCTCTAGTTGTTTTAGTTATTTTTGAAGGAGATCCTTCAAGGGCGGGGAAGATGGTTGCGCGGAAGACCATTCGTATTTATTTTATTTGACGGTAGGCTGCCAAATCGGTTATCCCTTTCCAAAATGATATCATTCGTACCCTCCTATCGACACATCGGGGTGGTGGGGTGGGAGGGGAAATAATATGATTCTAGAACATCACGTAATCATCGGAACCGAGGATATATAAGACACGCGCGACCGACGCGTGGCCTCTTCCCGCCGCGCTCGTCGTTGAAACCACACCGATAGTAGAAACCGCTTTAGCCTGGAAGCAGTCGAGCTCCAGGAAACCCGCCTCACCTCGTGTGAGATATCGTCGCGCACCGCCTCTCTCCGGAGTGTTCCAGAAGTCGCAGTTATAGTGCTCGACAGCATAGAAGAAACATCCCGGTGAGTCAATATCCAATAGTATTTTCCTGCTTGATATAGTTGTTTTAACCCGCTCCAATTTTGTATTTTCCTAATCAAGCAGTATTCCTTTCATCGATTTGGCAAATAGTAGTTCGTTTTTTTTTGGGAAAAGCGAGTGCATTGTACCGCATATACAAGTGTAGAAGCATTAGTAGATACAGTCCACTTAGATTAATATTTCTCGCAATAGGTTTAAGGTTCGACCGGGTAACTAGACTTCGGCAGCCTTAAACACGTGGTTCCACCAGATACAGACAGGGTATTGCAAGTAGGTAATCATTAACTTACTAAATACTAACACAATTTTTTTATCTGTATGTTGAAAACAGAATTAATATTTAATTATTAATATTTTCATGGTCGGTTGATAAAATATAATAATAATAGTATATACCTACCAAGCATACGATGATGATTTTGGAAACTCCGTTGGTGTAGTTTTGTTTAAAACTACTTAATGTGTGTGACTAGATTTAAGCCTCTAATCATGCGTATATTATGTTCATGTAAGTAATTTTTTTACGTATCGTACGCTTTCAAAAGCACATTATTGTACGGATATATATAGATATATATACGTCCAATCTACGATACGATACGTAAAAATCTAAGTATGAATGATGAAATTCGCCATAGTTATTTCTTTTCATATAAATGTCGTGTATTCAGTATTTGGGAGCACGCCGTTTCCTTTTTCTATTCTCCTCTGCTTCTTCAAAAAGTATTTGAAATAAATCTCACATCTCTTCATATAAGCTGTCCAGGACGCAAAAATGACCTAATTTGATAAAGAGTTTGGGATGAATGAGCGATTCGATTCGATTCTTCAGAGATGGACGCACTAGGAATAAACGCGTCTCGCTTCGATTCGACGCGTTTCTATTGTAGACGCCAGGCTTTTTTATCTACATCAGTATTCTTGTTATTTATTAACTTTAATATATTTATTTTTTATAATATAATTTCCAAATTTTTTAATTTCCTTTTTTTGACTAGTATGTGTTTTTTTTATTCATATAAGAGCCCGTTCCCGTTTATCGGGTGTCGGGCCCGACAGAAAATCGGCTGCTCTAGTGGCAGAACATTTTATATCAAGCTGTTCACACTATCTGACAACGTTTTTTTATCGGCGCTGACAAGAAATATCGAGTATTTTGCCAGTCCTCTACGTCCTTCGTCGACGTCCATCGTATATAGTCGCCTCGCATCTAAGACCTATGTGTTTTTTTATACGCATAGACGGCCAAAAATGCTGTCTGCAGCTTCAATCGGGGCGACAACCGATTAGTGTGAACATAATTGATAGTTCAATGCCTAACATTACGTTAATATTATCTCTTAATACTATTTTTATGTATAAAATTGTGATGTGTACAAATAAATAAAAATAATCCTACATAATGTACGACTGTAGCGGAATAATTTTGAAATAAGCCTAAGGCGGGAAAAACGGTTACCTTGCGGGCATTCCGGATGAAACTGGCTGGCGGTCAACCTCCAGCCAGAAGGACACGAGGCACATTGATCCTGACGCGGTCCGATGCACGTCCGACATGATAAGTAGCACTTCGAATAAGTGCCGCAATCCGCGTAGTATCTGATACAAAATATTTATTAAGACTTAACATGGCAAGAAAATCAGGAAAGCTGCCGTAGCGTGTATCATCGTTTTTCCCGTAGATTTAAAGAGGTTGTAGAACGAGTGAGTTCGTTCGACTGGAAAAGGAACACGCTTTTACAGATTACCAGTGTAAAACCGCAGTTTAGTGCCGCTGTGTTTCGTGTGTTAAGTGTAGAGAACCGGAGAACCTTTTTATTGAAAACGAGGCATTCCATCTTAGTTCTCAGAGGTGACAACAGCATGTTAATTTTAATTCTTAATCGACTGTAAATGTAGATGCCTATGGGCCACAGCATCCTTTTATCATTTTATCGGTTTTATATTTGGGATCAAGAAATTTCACCGAATATCTCAGTTTCGCAAGCAACTCAAGTGGCTCCCAATTAGACTTCAAAGGAACATTCGATTGTTATGTCTCCTGTATAACATCTTGTACAACTCTTCCTCTCTCACATACCTCAGAAGCCGATTTTCCCTTCACCCATCCTCCAGATAATAAACAATGCAGATCCCTTGTTAAAACCCGTCTTAACTTTCCCGTCTATAATTCCGGTTTTTAATCCTACTCCTTTTCAGTTCACGCGGTAAGGTTATGGAACTCACTTCCGTCTAATTAAAAAAATTCCGAAACTTTATTGATATTTAAAAAACGTCTTAGAGACAACTTCTTTGCATCCTGTTAATTAATATATATTATTCTATTGTATTAATATTTCCTCAACGGTTGTCGGTTCTTCGACAACCGTTGAAGAAAGGTTCTCGAGTGGCAGTACTGGTAGGTGAAGTATAGGGCGACCCCCACTAGATGGAGTGACGACATGTAAGAAGACGATGGATGCAGGTGGCTCAGGACCGTGCTTTATAGCATACCTTGGGGGAGGCCTATGTTGAGCAGTGGACTTGTAAAGGTATTTATCTTGATGTGTGTGCACAAATAAATTAAAAAAAAATATCCGTAATGAATGATGTATTACATCATCACTAATGAATAAAGGGCTTTTCAATCCAAGTATTTGTCAGCTAGAAAGTATTATGTAAGAGATTTGTTCACACTTAATCCGCAACCAATTGTGTAGGTAATATAAAGTTTTAGTATAGTCGAACTCACCCATCAGCACATAAGGTCCTGCAAGCGCCGGACTGGAGTCGTAACGAGCCGGTACAAGCAATTTAGTTAAGTCTTGAAACGCATTCTGAACAACCGTGAATGCAACGCGTACGCGCGTATCTGCCCGCATCCAAGTAGAAACCTCGACTGTATTCTGAGACGCACCTAAAATATATTTCTTATGAGTTAGTAATTACGTGTAATTAGTATAATTAATGCACTTTTCGTATTCAATGGGTATCATCAAAATAGGCTGAAGATAATACAAGAATATTATATAATAATTGATCATCACAAATATACTTCTTTTCATCATTAGCTAGTTAATGTCCACTGCTGGGCATAGGCCCTTCTCGTTGTAGGATGTGTCTTAATTATCACGCTTGAGTGAGAAATTGACGACTGTGGTGCCAGACGTCTCGCACATTCAACGCTGCTACAAGTCTGGGATATTTTACGTATGGCGTATACGAGGTGTTATACAGTCATTTTAAGTAAGCGATCCCCCCTATGTGGCAACCTATGGGGAAGGTCTATGTTCAGTAGTGGGCTTTTAACAGCCTGTAACGGTAAGGGTAACGGATATATACTGTTCTCACTACCATATTGTCATGAACAACAATCATTACATACAATATATACAATACAAGAACTAAAATCTTGCTAAATTTACGATAGTAGATTCATGTACAGAATTAGTTCGATCCATGGCCATATTTCATGGAACGAGCAAAAAAGTATTTGCATAAAAGTAGACTTCGTACTAAAAATTAAGAAATAATATCAAAGCCATAAACTATTTTTATTAATATTGTTACGAGCTTCGGGTTCATGACAATAAAACTGCCGACTGACACACAAGCGACACACGACGCACACGTGCACGCAGACGCCCGCGCACGCACACACGCACACGCACACACACACGCATATGCACATGCACACGCATATGCACACGCACACGCGTACGCACACACACACACGCACATCCTTGAAAACAGTAGAATGGGATTCTATGGGTATCAACATGTAGAGATAATATATTAAAATGTGGACTTTCACTTGAATATTAAAATATATACACTGCGAAAAAGACCGTAACAAGATAATCATTGATCGATATAAAATTGCTGAAACTAACTTGTAGTTTTCCAGAAGATTCCGCGATGGACAAGTTAAGCAGTTTTTTACGTGGTAGAGCCATGCTGCAATTATATTAGTAGTATAGTTGTAGCACGAATGGGTCGGCTCGACCGGGGAAGGACCACGCTCTCACAGAATACCAGCGTGAAATGGTAGCTTAATGCTGCTATATTTCGTATGGTGAGTGTAGAGAACCGGAGACCCTTTTTACTGGAAATGAGGCATTCCATCTCAGTCCTCACGGGTGACAACGCATCTGCATTTTGATTTGTAATGGAGGATAGATGTAGATGTCTATGGGCCGCAGCAACCACTTACCATCAGGTGGACTGTGTGCTCGTTTGTCATCCTATCCTATAAAAAAAAAAAAAAAAAAGCAATTGCTTTCGTCATCTCCATGGCTGGAATCACACTCGTCGTGTCAGCGGTTACAGTTCGTGCCATCGGAGAATTCCCCTGTACTGCATCTCTCCGCACCAACGGGGACACATTTACCTTTTTGTTTAGTTACCAATTTGCATTGCATGACATGCATAACCCGCTTATACAAGTTGAACAACAAACTGGACATCTTGTAAAAAAACGAAAAGCTATAGTTTCAGAATATAGCTTGAAAACCTAATATTAAAGTTGAATCAGTACAATACTTACTTCATACACTCCTTTTCTTATCAGAATAACAGCCAGTGGGACAAACATTAATACATCTTCCTTCTAGCGCATAACTTAAAGGATGGCAAGTGATACATTGAGAGACACCAGAACCCTCGCAAGTGTCACACGATGAATAAAATTTGGCACACGCGTAGCTGATGGTCTTTTGCTTCGTAGTCTTACTGGATCAACTGAAGTACCGTAAAATACTGCTACTTCTTAAAAATGCCGGGTTGGTTAACATGCCCATTTTCGGCTTTTACGATATGCAAAGTTCATCTGCCTTCAGCATATTCTCCCCAGAAGTGTACGTTTAAGAACGGCCAATCATCGAAATTGGATCTAACTAAATCCCGGGGCCTTTCGGAAAAAAGTGTCAAATTTGTTCCCATTGGCGACGTTAGAAGTATTCTCAGATTTTGTCAAGGGAAAAATCTTAATGATATTTTACACTGAACATGTTCTAGATACCGAACTTCGATCACAGTTCCACTGCACCCATTTACATCCATATGAACACTAAGTCTTAATGTGTAACCATATGAATATTCTATGGATTTGTATATGCAGCCTAATAGCAGTGCATGCAATGCTGTGTTTCGCTCTGAAAGGTATAGAAATCAGTGCAATAACAGAGTGAACATTCTATCTTAGCCCTTAAAGGTGACAACACATCTGTAGCCTTATTTGTTTGATGATGACTGCAGGTGTCCATAGACAGCAGTAATCACTTACCACAAAGCTGGACTAATTTCGTACGTCACTTAAATTAAATGCAAAAAATGAGGCAAGAAATGTCCTGATGAAAATAATTGCCAATTGATATGTGGTGTTTTATGAATAACTTTAGGACAGGCATATATTTAATTGGTGATTTTACAATGGGCTAAAATAGTTATGATACAAATCTTACCAAATATCACTGCTCCTTAAACAATGGATCAGGAAAAAAGGGGGAGGGAGAGAGTGCCAGATGTCTGGTCGGATGTGAAGGCATCCGGCGGTTGAACTTTCGCGTACTTTCTCGTTGTGTGTAATCACGCTTCACTCTCCACCGTTCGCACTGTTGTTGGAACTATCGAACCTAATACAAGAATAAGTTTATTAATCATAACTTATAGCCTATAACGATTAGGGTATGAAATGTAAACTTAAAACGTAGTAGACTCGAATCCACCACTTCTAACAAGCATCTTAAACTTATTTGGAGTATCCAACATGGATATTAGTAATATTGAGAGCTTTACTTGAAATTTTATTATATGAAAATTCATAATTATAACACAAGTTGTAAGACCAAAGAAAACTTTAGAAAAATCAAAACAACATCGTTGAATTCTAAAATCGGTTCTTACATTTAAGTTAATTTCTTATTTAAATACAAAGTTACCTTTAAATGCTATTGACCTAAAATAATTTAGCTTTAAATTTCATACATTACGCATAGATGTGCAGTATTAAAAATAAAGTATGTTTAAAGTAAGTAACATTTTAACATTTCAACAATTTTCAATTATTTAAGTGATTTAATTTGTGCATACTATCGTTGAGATAATACTAGTTTTTACGGAATTTATCGCGTATATTCAACTTTTTAAATACCCGACGTTTCGAACGCTTTACAGCACTCATGGTCACAGGTGGGACTGAGATGTTCAACGTCCAGATGTCATAGTTAACCGCGGTTACCATAGCATATATACATACCATATATACAACTATACACTTTATATTTACGCGAATATACATAAAACTAGTTTTTGGGATTTTATCACGTATAATTATAACTTTTTTAATTCCCTCAATGTCTTGTTCGTTAATAAACAGCGTGCACTGCATGCATGAGAGTTTAATAGATGGAGAAAAAGTTGATATATTCTTGCTGTAAAAATTTGTTTAGTAATACAAGAAACTTTCGAGTCGCAACTTACAACGGTATGAGAATCGATGTAACTTGTTTTATTATTTTCATTCTTATTTATACGGACATTGTGCTTTATTCGCTGAGAATGTGCAGGTTTTCTTAACAAAGACCCTTAGCTCGTCTGACCCTGGCTTTTTTCACAATTTACGTAAATAGTGAGCAAACTTTTCACTTCCTATTGTTCAATTGTATCTCGTGTCTCGGTAAGACGTGACGGAGCGGAGGTCGCCTCTGCGATTGTTAAGACCTACAATGGTTGATATATTTTCCGTAATTTAAATTTATGTCACATTTTAAATAAAAATTAATAAATAAATTTATTATTATTATTAAATAAGCGTACACCTTGCGGTTTTACTATCTCTGTATAAGTGATTTAGTTGTCTTTGCATCTGGTTCGTCACATATGGTTTTCAATACTATGTAACTATGCGTCAATGGCCGCTTAAATATTTGTCATTTAATTGTATGGTAATGCAGTAGCTAAACGTTACCGCGACGCTGCAGGCCTCGGCTTTGAATGAGCACTAGAGTTACACAATTGCACAGCTGATCTTTAATAAGCTAACTGGTGGGTAAGAACAAGAGTGGTAATTGTAGCTTTTGGCACTATTATATACATTACGCAGTGCATACATTTTGTAATGAAGTGAGAGAGGCGGCGATCGTGCGCGGAATAGCTGAAACTTACAATTTTGATTTATAATGTTGTACTATTGGCTTTAAAAATGAAAAAAAGAAGATACTGGCAGAGTTCCTTTAGTCGTTTATTCTCCGGAAAGATGAGCCTAATTTTGAAACGGTAGTAAACTTAAAAAATCTGTTAACGTTTGACAAAGGAAATTTTTATTATCTTATTCTATTCTTTTTTAATAAGCACGCGGTAAATCAAGGCAGAAATACAACAAGTGCATTTTTCATCTAGTTAATCACTGCTAGGCTGTTACACCAGGCAGACAGGTTAGAACAAGTTCGTCGCATTGATAATATTCCCTCTATATCATCTGCCTGTGAAAATTTTTTGAACTTTTGAAAATGGGATTTCAAAAAGCTTATTACGCTGACATTAAGATGTCGACGAAGCCCCTTTCGTTGACTATCTTTGCGTGCGAGTACCGTTTGCGTTTCGAGTCGTTACGTCCCCTATAGTCCTTATAAATTTAAATTACTGTGTTCGCAATTTCACCTGCTGAACAAGACTATAACGACCGCCCCAACTTAGAAGCGTTGTTGATCATACTGTATTAAGTAAAGTTTCAGATTTTTTAAGTTTTCAGTATGCTATACAAAATTTACAGTACAAATTTAATAGTAGCCCGTGTTGAATATGCCATTTTTCCATTAACGGGACTCTTTTATAAGAGTACGAGTACATATATTGATTTTTTAAATCCAACTATTATTTTAAGTTTTCATTTTTCATTCCCAAAATTATGCGTTTGGGCCTGAAGGTAACCCAAACTATGATTTCAGTATGTAAGTACTCAGTCCCTGTAACTGTGGTGATTGGATCAGAAATTAATTACAAGTTGAAATTAAGTATTATTAAAACCGTAAAAATATTTTTATTTAAAGAAGAAAAAGATCATTTCAATAGCAAGGAAGGAAAGTTTCTTGGGTTCATATTTATTTTAAATAAAATTTAAAAATATGTATATCATAACCTTGTGGTCACGGGCACTGAGTTTAGTCAAGGACACGGAGTTTTTGATCATCGTGTCTCTGGCACAGCCTTAGCTTACTGTAGATGATAATAATAAGAAAGACAGGAATGTGAAGATAGGCCTACCCTATACATTACCTCATAAGGGGGGAATATTTGCCATGGTTGCCACTTGTCACTATCTTTATGGCATTACGTATAGCTGCATCCTACGACAGAAAAAGGACGTATAGAAATGATTTATTATTTCATGTCCCCGACACACGGCATATTTTCAACTATCCATACGTAATATTTTCTGTGCAGTGGCGGTGTAAGTATATATCCACTATCCCACATCGTCCTGGAAGAGGTGACAATGGGAAAGAACCCGCCTCTACCAAGCGTTACAACTATTGCAAGTCCCTCCCATGAGGCAATTAATGGAGGAGATTTATGTTCTGCAGTGGACTTTTGATAGGCTATAGAAGTAAGCTAAAGGTATACCAAATTAAAACATTTGTTAAACCAAAGGTTATAATTATAGAACATCTTTAGTATATACGTGTAGGTCAGGCTAAGCGCTCCCTCTAAATTTCACAGTACGCGAGCAACCCAGGTTCGATCCCCGCCGGCACCAATAAAATTGTTAATAGCAATTTTAAATGTTGATTTACCACGTGCTCGGCGGTGAAGGAAAACATCGTGAGAAAACCTGCATGTCTGAGAAATAAAAAAAATATATTTTGAAGACATGTGAAGTTAGCCAACAAGCGTTGGGGCAGTGCGGCGGACATTTCCTTGCCCTAAACCCCTCTGAGATGTGAGGAGGCCTGTGCCTGGCAGTGGGACGTGTAAAGGCTTTAACTTAACTTATCTTAAATATCTCCTAATGATATTATTTTAATCAAAGCAACATAGAATAAACACGTTCGAATAGCGTGTTCGTTTAATTTACGCAAACCATAATTGAATACTAGCCATTGACTTAAATATTTCACCTCATCTAAAATGGCGCCGCCCTGGTGGCAAAAAAAGTCGTGGATGCCATCATAATCACGCGTGGACTCATACTATGGATGCGTCATTACCAGATGTCTCCGGTTCTCGTTACTCACCAATATTTGTAATGTATCACCTCGAATCCAACTGCTTCCACATCATTACCGGGCTGTTCGCGACGTCCAGGTGTAGGAGGAGAGTAAGCCTCATGTGACGACGTGCGCGCGTCTTTCACTTAAACATACAAAAACCATATATATAGTCTATTCCGCACATCTTCCTCTTAAAACATGCAATAGTGTGCTTGTTAAACCATTAGAATGGAAAGCACAAACAACGCAATACAAGTGTAAATGAGACAAAGAAAGTGAGCTTTGTTCATAATATTAGCTGTTACACCAAGCATGAAAAACATAATACCTACCAGAGGTTTTAGCGGCATATAAAAACATATTATGACTGATATACTTAATATTG